TGTGAGCTCTGTTTCTTAGAATAGTTTTGCAGATGGACTACTTTCAGCTGTGAGCATCAACAGGGAAGAAGTAGGAATTAATTTGATGCTTCCACCTCTTGCCTAGGCGCTGAAAGGGATGGTGTTCTGAAAACTGATGCAATTTTAAAGATCAGATCCTGTAAAACATTGTGATTCCTAGCCAATAATGTGCCTTCTGGAACTGCTTATTTAGTGCGGAGTTGCACTGCAGACTTTCCCATTCTTTTGTCTGGGCTTCATCGAGTATTTGCCAGGTGCAGTAACCAATAAAACTGGGAAAGATCTGAGTTCTGCAAGAGGCCTTCTATAACAGAGGCAGCAGGTACAGACATATTGTTTCTCACCATATGGCTCCACAGGATCTGAGAAAGGTGTTGTCCTTCCCATTTCCTCAATTACTAGTTTGATCTAGCTGTATGGAAGACAGAGTTTTGGCTCTGTGTTGGAATAGGATTATGTGATGCTCAGAAACAATAAGGTCTTGTTTAATGTTGTATATACTTCTAACTCCTTCCTATTTATGTGTGTATTAGTCCTACCAGGGCCCCAGAGGCTGTAGCCACAAGAATGACATTTGGATCAAGTTGCACACTACTAATATATAGCATATACCCAGCTAAGTGGGATGTAACAAAACAGGTCATCTCAGAATACCAGGAACTATTTCCATCATGTCAGTATAGCAGGTCACTGTTAAATACCTGCTTTTTTCTTTCTGAATCTACCTACTTGCATCCTTATAACTGTAATACATAATGGAAAAGAAAGAGGCTTGCTCTCGGTTGCTGATAACTGACAGGGTTTTATTGACCTTGTGATTGATAGCAGACCCGTGTCTCCTAAGAATCTGTTTGAGCAGATGTCACAAACTCTCTCTGAATGTCTCTTCAGCATACAGATTGCAGTTGCCCTCCCCCTGCCCTCCACAAACAGGGCTGTCCATGGCAGGCTGCTTTTTCATTGGTGCCTATAACAAAAATGTACTGTACTCATACTGGGAAGTATTTACTGTTTGCATATGGAGCTTTAATTGCTTTTGCTTTTTTGTTATTAATTCAGGCCTCCAATAAAAGCACTAAGTGTGAATCCACTGCTCCCTTGATTGCAAAGAATAATTAATTGGTCAGATCTATTTTCTTTTTGTTGTCCTGTGGACTGAGAGATAATGATGTGCAATGGGGAGGACATTCCTGCTACAGATAGTATTTCTGCAAATCCTGCAAAGCATAGCTAATGATCTGTGGAGTACCATCCAACATTCAGTGAGCAGGCTGCCTGCCTGCTCTGTCGTCCCCCACACCATGTGCATACATATGCATTTGTGTTCTGTATTTTATGGTGTGATCAAAACCAGTCTTTGGTTAACGTTTTAGTAACTCCTATTTCTCATTGTTCTTACTTGCAGCAGTAACATTTGCAATTTCGATCTGTGGCAAGAAGCACATTTCCTTTCTTAAAGGAAATCTGAAATAATTTAGAGGCCACAGAAAAGGGTAGCTTGCAACTCGCATTGCTGCAGTCTTGCAAACAGTCTACAAGACAGATGCTGATTTATTTAAAATCAAACAAACAAAAAAAATGAGGCTTGTGTTTTTTCTTTCCAGATATACAAACTTAAGGAATGTATTCAAGCATCTGGCTAATTCGCATACCATTAATTCTCTAAAGAATACATATGCACACCCAATTAGACCTGCATCATTTATTTAAAAAATGAATGTAGTCTTGTATTTATATTTTATAGCTGTGCCAAATTGCTAAAGGACATAGAAGGAAGAATTTTATAAGCAAAATGTGCAGAACCCTTTGCCTAGAAAAGTTGAAAGTATCAGCAAGACTGTACCTGAGCTTAGTTTAAAAACCATTGATGTACTATTTTGCTAGTAGTGAATGGGTTAGTGGCTTTTTAAATACAGGAATGAATGCTTGTTAGGAACTGAGATACAGCCTGTCTTTGTACTGGAGCTAGCAAAGGGGGCACCGATCCTGATGTCTGAGGTCCTATCGTATTGCAGTAATATAACTACTCTTCCCTTTGCATCTGTTTTGTCGGCTGCAGTGAGTTCCTGCCAGCTGTGGTTTCTTGAGGTTTTAATAGTCTAAAACAATTATAAGGATGTGACTCTCCAAAGGCTGAGAGCCTGGTGCTGATGGCATATGTCTCCTCTCACTCTCGTATGGCTCTCCACCAGCTCAGCTATGAGGCCAGTACCAGTCAGAAGAATAATTTAGGTCTTGGCAAGAGGAGGATTATCATAGCCTTTTCCAGAGGATGTGTGTGGGATGGGAAAAATTAATCTGTGCCCTGACCACCTTGTTCATCTCTCTGGTAACCTGAGTGCTAAAGACACTCAAATCCTTAGAGTCAATGACACTCTTGTCTTATTCTTAGCAGCAAATTCCTGTGAGGTCTGCTAACCAGCAGTAGAGACAGTGGTTAGTAGTCGCCTGCCTTATGTCAGGCTTTGCTGGAGTAAAGTTGCCATGGAGATCGGCAGGAGTTGAACTGGGCAGGGACCGCAGCAGTTCGCCCCATGCGTGTAAATCTGTTTGACATGTCATGTGTATCAGATTTGGCTCTGCTGCTCACAGTTGAAGTCCACTGGCTTTTTGTGCCCGATTTCCTTGTAGGAGAGCTGAACACAGTGCTATGAATACTGCCATGCAGTATTCATAGCACTGTGATATTAAAAAAAGGTGGAATTGGGATTGGTGCCTGCTCTTCCAGAGCCAATATAAAAGCAAATTAGGGCACCAAAGGATGTATAGGGCAAGTAGCTAAGCCCTGTAAAGTAGAACGAACTACCCCAAGCTGGAGCCTTTCTTAGGACAGTAGTAAAGGTATTGACTGTCTTAAAAAGAGAATTGTTTAGAGGCAGAAACAGAAGTCCTATAACTTGGGAGATGTTGGAAGGAGGAATCTTTCCAACTCATTTTAGAACTTGTAAAGCAGATTAAAATATGGGGAAGATTGCTGAATATGAATGTCTGCTTTACACTTGTAAAGGGTCCATGTACTCAGAAACATTGCTGGGAAAACATCAATTAAAATGCTTGGGACTGACAAAGGCTTTAAGGCTGTTGAGGTAAATGGTGACTCATATTGGCTGAGAAGTAGGAATGAAAAAACACTTAATGGCCTACACCCCAAGCTGTACTCTGGAAAGAGACTTCCCAAGGAGTCGACCTGCTGGCACTGGGATTTTAGCCAATGCCTGCTGATCTACAGCCTCCAAAGGTGAAGAGCCAAAGTATTTTTCGGTGATTTAGCAGCACGCCTGCTGCGTTTACAATGCTTGTATGTTTCCAGGGTGTTATAGAGAGAAACTTGACATATTTCTAATTTTAGAATAAGAGAAAACAGCCATCTAGTGAAAATACTTTGAAGGAAGGGTTAAAAATTTGGAAACCTTGAAGCAGGAAGAGTGGGGGAGGAGGGAATAGGGCAAATGCAAAGATGGATCTTTGAACACCACTTTCTCCAGCAGAAACTATGGAGCCCTCCAGAATATGCTGCCTGGACTGTGGCATCAATTTGAGAGGGGAACAAGGCTTCTGTTGTGCTTATCCTGAGGAAAAAACTCTGGTTCTTTCAGAAGAAACTAAAGCTTGTGCATCTCGAAGACCAGTGTGAGCTTGTTGTATTAATGGAAAAAGGCCTGATCGCATGCATCAAAAGCATCTTCCCCCTCTTCCTCCTCCCCCCTATCTCTTGTACCACTCTTAACAATTTAATCCATAGCAGTTTGTCTTCATGGGTTGTAATTGATCTGTCTGTGATTTAGCTCATCAGATGCTCATTAAAGAGCTTGCAGCCTTTTTTATTCATGAGGAGTGAGAGTCAGGGATCTTAAAACACTTTGTCTTTGTCTTAACTGGATTCATTTAGTATTCTGGGATTTGGGGAGGCTAATAAACTAATACGAGCTATTATTTAAAGGTGAGCTGCCAAGTGAACATGAAGGATGATCCAAGCACTGCCAGCGTGCTGAGCACTCTCCAGCAGTGGGTGTCAGGTGGGAGCAGCAGAGGGAATCATTGCCAAAACCTCAGCAAGATATTCCTCACTGCTCTGTGGCGGGTGCCCCACAATGCCCTGCCTGTATGCGATTGGGGAATGCAACTTGCAGTGGAGCTCCTGGAGCTATGTCTGCAATGAATGTGGCATTTCATGCTAGGGGTGCCAGCAGGATGCACAGAAATATTTTGTACTTTGTAGAGTTTGTGCTTGACATCTGGTTTTCTTTCTCAAGCGCCGCTATTGTTCCGAGCTGCCGTCTGTACTCTGGCAGTGCCCCTAACGATGTGTGCTTCCCACGTACCCGGCACACACATGCTGAGAAAATGCCTGTCGCCATCCTTTAACAAGGATACACTGACAATCTGCAAAAGGGAACAATACCCCTGGGCTGCAGAAAGCGGTTTCCTTTCCCCATTACTTTAATGAACACTTGAGATATTTCTAGGCTGTAGGAAGAGGAGGTGGGATAGATGGTTCTTCTTTCTGCTCCTTTCTGAGCCTGGCTCTGCATACCAGACACTTCCAAAAAGATAATTCCCTACAATTATTGTATTTACTGTGTAGTCATAGGCATAGTGTCATCAAATTGCTTATGCCTTAGAGTTCTCTTAAGTGACTGTAATCACAAGTGGGCTTTTATGTTGTCTATGACCTTTTAAGGCAGGGAACATATGCAGCTGGATCCTGTGCCTGCACCGAATGTACTGACATTGTTTGTGAACCATGGGAAGCTGTGAGGCTCCCCAGACAAAGCCCTGCATGAGGGATCTGAACCTTGGCAGGACACGGTGCCATTTATTTCCCAGTCACTGTGTGTATCAGGATTGGGAAAGCTTTGGGAATATAAACCTTTCCTAACTGCTCAGAGTCACAGTATTTATAAATACTCTAAGCTTGTGTTTATAATTGTATGTTATTCTGTGCAAATACTAATACCATATTTGTTCTTTCTTTGTAGTGTACAGAGGCCAAAAAGCATTGCTGGTACTTTGAAGGATTATATCCTACATATTATATGTAAGTAATCATCACTTTCCTTGTTCAAGAGAGAATTAGATTCCGTAGGCTCTTAGACTGTTGTTCTTTCGCTAATTGTACTTCTTCCATAACTTCTTTGAGACTTCTGTAATAAAAATGAAGCTGCAATAAACTTCCATTTCCCTCCTTCTCTATGACCCATCTCTTTCCCTTTCTCCTTATTAAAAGAAGCGTACAGATTCATTTTGCCACACACCCCAGGTGACCTTTCCAATTGAAAACAAAACTCAGGTCCTTAAACAGCTCTTATTTCAGAACACTGAAAGGAAACAGAAGTAGAGCTGTGTGAGGACAGTTCTCCCTTTGTTAGGAACAAGGACAGGTAATCAGACAGAATACCAAGAATGCTTTGAAAGTAACTTTGTTCCTCTGCTAATGCTGTTGTTTAATTTAGGGAGTTGAGATGATTTGTTATCCGTAGCATAACTGTCCCTTTGATGAGTGATGTCTACATTCACATAAGGCTTGGTTGTGAACCAAATGTAAATGACCTGTGGGTGTATAATTGAGGATCTCTCTAAACTGCAGTTTTCTGTTTCATATTGCCCACAGAAGAACAAAAAGGGGGGGGGAAATATGTGGGTGGGAGATACATTCCATGTGGATTTCAGGGCAGAAAGGAGATAAATGTGGTAAATTTTGTCCCCAGGTTGTATAACTTTATAATTGCAAACACTTGTAAACACAGGTTTAAAAAAATAAAAACAAAATGGGGTGGAAGAGTAGGCAGCAGCATTAGGTTGTCTGTTCCCTGAGCAAGCTCTTCCTTGCTGAAGGATTGGAAAATACTGTAATCCTTATGCTACCCAAGAACTTTCCTCCCTTTTCTTCTCCACCTCCACTTCATCTGCCAGAAGCGGGAGAGAAATGCTAGACAAAAAGCAGTGAGGAAGCTAGGCAAGAAACAAAGCTCACTGAAAGAATGAAACACTGTATGACTTAATCATCCATAATCCTGGATATTAACTGCTTAGGAAGTGTTTGTGCCTAGAACTCACTGTATTTTTTTCAGGTGACTGAAATGTGGAGAATTACTCATAAATGATTGGCCAGAACAGATGGGGGAATTTAAATAAGAGAATTTTCTTTGCATGCTAATAACAACAGGACTTTGGTTCCACCTACATTTTATTCTGTTTTGCTGCAATGTGGGAAAGAAGCTGGAATGTTATGAAATTATGAAAATCCCACTGTACCTTAACATTCAGAATTGTGTTATTCATTGTCACCTTGGTGTTCTGCTTATGTTTCTGCCCACATACTTTCACAGCCAGTGTTTGTCTCCCTTGGCAATGCTTAGGTATTGGGTGTTAGTTCAGACCGTTTGTGCCCCAGGTGAATACATACAGAGTCATGCAAAAGGAAGGGGTAAAAAAAAAGTCCTGTTGTACATTGGCAATGTCAGGTCAATCAGAAGACTGTTCTTGTGTGTTTTTGTGGTAATTACTGCAGCACCGTGTTATCTGAATCACTGCATAAAAGTGTTGTGATTTCCAGTCTCCTGCACAGTGTAAGTAAATGGAAAAAGGAAGGGGAAAGGGGTGGGATGTGTGTGCTAGGTGATTGTTTAGATGGTGATGAGTGTCACGTTAATGCTGTTGTTGTTGTGATTATGAGTTTAAGGGGAAAGAGGAAACACTAAGGAAGGACAATAAGGATTTGGGTATGGTAAAGCTGAGAGGATAGATAATGTATGACAAGTGAAGAAATTTGGAAAGGAGGGGAGAGAGGGTATTTGAGGACATTGGAGCCCAGTAGGTTTAAAGGGGGCATGATCAAAACAATAGGAAGGTCATTTAGATCTTCAGTGCCTGAGGTTTCCTACTTTGTTACTTATGCAATTTCAGTTTCTGTTGTCTAGGATCCCCAGCTGCTTCCTACCTGAGCTGTCTTTTCACACCTATAGGGTGGAGAAGAGGCGCAACACCAATCTCAATATCTTAGGGTGAAGCCCCATTGCTTCAGCAGTTGTTTGACCCTTCACTGAGTTAATTCAATTTGCTAATCCCACAGAAAGTTGCTCATTTTAGCACATTCGAGTCAGTGTTGAATCAGCATGGTATAGTTTTTGGCAAACACTGGTGAAATGGGAGGAAGGGAGTATTCTGCATATTATGGGGGAGGAGGCATGAATAGCTTTGTCTTCATTAGCATATGGTTATATGTTAAATCATCTGGAGGCATAATATGTAACTTTATCCTGAGAGTGCCTCCTCTGTGCAAATCTATATCTGGAATGTGCTATAGTGAAATGGGTTTTAGTTTATCTTACACTTTCTGTAGCAACAGTCCATAAGAAGCAGATATATTTAGTTAAATGATTTTGCACTAGGTTCCATTCCTTTCTGTCGCTGGTTTTCTGATAGAACTTTTTATCTACCCAGTTAACATATGTAGTCTTTCCTTTGGTCTTGAGACTATTTTTGAAGACTTACGAAACCCAGCAACCCTTTTTAATAATTTCCCAGTGATTTCAGTCCAGTGCTGGCACTATGTAACATCTCTCATGAAGACAGTTTGTATTATAATGAAAAAGTTGGCACGTCAGCTCAGAAATGCCAAATCCTCTGTCAATTCACAAATGTTGTGTGGAGTGCTGGGAGTGAGGTATACCTGGACTGGCGTGTCTGCATGCCTTATCACTTCTGGGTAGGCACATCCTCCTAGAGGCTGCCTCTTTTTAAATTACCCAGAGTAATAGAAATCCAGTGGACTGTCACATAAAATGGTGGTTTGCTTTTATCAGAAGTTTAAAGGCAAGATAGCTGAGTTAATCTTTCCTGTAAAGGCTCTGCTTGAGCCATCCAAAGACAGAGATAAGAATGTGTCTGCTAAGCAAGAGGAACATGGGATAAGAAATCAGTGTGCCAAAATAAGTGTTCTGGAAATTCAGCTAGATTTGAGGGGAGGGAGGTAAAAGTTGCAGTGATATGACTGTTCTTTCGGAGCTTAAGTTTTGGTGTTTTTTTTTTTAGTGTTTTAGTCAATCCGTCTTTCAGTGTAATTATTTAAAAAAGGAAAATCTGTTAGAGATGTTGCTCAAAACTTTCTTAAAACGTGTTGGTTATGCTTTCTGTCTTAACAGCTAGGGCAATGGTTGAAGATCGCAGTTACAGAACTGATACATCTTTCTGTCCAAATATTTAATAGTATTAGTACCTTTTAAAAATTTTTTTTCAACTGGACATAATTGTTCTATCCTTCATATGTCATCAGTAAGCTTTAATTTAATTCAAACATACTTCTTCCAAGTAGAATTCCATTTCTTAAGACTCGACTGAGGATTTGATAATTTTTCCAAACTTTTCTTCCTCTCCTGTGTTATTCAGGTTATTCAGAACCAGAAATGAACATGGAAAGCTTACTAGGAATCTGAGAGTCATACATTAGTCTTATACTGTTAATACAGAGAATTTCCAAGACTGCTCATAACTTACTTCACTAACCAAAGCAATCATTTCTCCATATCCTAGTTCCGTGAGTTACAAGATATTGTTGCCAGTTAGATACTTTTCTCCTGTTTCAGCAAAATGTTTATTATATGGCCTGGAAAAATAAATAAACAAATATAAGGAGGAGAAAGGAATTAGCTATTGGAGTCTAACTCTTATCCTTTGGAAAAGCAGGGACCTGACTTATTCCTGACTTTGCTTAAAGAATTAGATAGTATATCTCCTTGTGTGGATGTAGAGAAAGCAATTCAGAAAGCTACCTCAAAAGACTCGACTCTGATAATCTAGAAGGATTCTCGTTCTACTCTCACTTAAGTAAACCAGCTCAGCCTTATTCTGGATGTGTTGATAGTTGGCAGAAGAAATGGTCAAGGTACTTCTCTTTCATGACAATAATCTGAATAGTAACATAATGAATGCATTAAATGGCAAACCCACCTCTTCCGTATGCAGATGCCAGCAGCGCTTAAGATACTCCAGATGTTTTTTCCAGTTCTGAACTGGGAATGAATAGGAGAAAGAAGGCTGCCTTACATTTTGCTGATGAGGAGTAGTTTGACTAGAATGACTGTGAATGTCCCCCTCATTGCAGGGTGAATTATGTTCCCTGGTATGACTGATCAATCTCATAGGTCTCTTCTGTTTATTTTTTCTTCAGTTGAGTCAGAATCACAGGATATTCTGAGTTGGAAGGGACCCACAAGGATCATTGAATCCAACTCTTAAGTGAATGCCAGTTGTTAGCTGCCATCACATCTGGGCTTTTAATGAGGTGATGAATTCCAGATGCTAGAACCTGTGTGTTTCTAATTCTCTCCTTGCCAGGCGTTATGGCATGTTTATAAGGAAGCACAAATTTTTTTGGGTATGAATGATAAGCATGTGTCCACAGCAATAGAAGTATCATGGCTGATGTCACTGGGTCAGTGAAGTAGTCACCCATAGGGTGACTGACTTAGAGTTTTGATATTACCCAGTGTTAACATTATTTCAGCTCCTGAATAATCCTGTTGGATTATTGTGTATTATGCTTTTAAAAAATGTGATATTCCAAGAGAAGTAGTGAGGAAAACAGATTAGAAGATTAGGAAACAGAATAACTCAGGTGGGAAGGTTCTTGGGAGACATTGAGTCCAACAACCTGCTCAGTGCAGGGTCAGCCATGAGGTCAGACCAGGTGGCTTAGGACTTTACCTAGTTAGGTCTTGAGAAAACTCCAAGGAAGAAGATGGCACAACCTCTCTGTGCAACGTGCTCTGCTGCCTAGCTGTCCTCTTTGTGGATAAATTTCTTCACATACCTAGGCTGAACAAGCCCAAGTCTGTCACTCTCTCCTCACAGGGCAAATACCACAGCCCCTGTCTATCTTGGTGGCCTTTTGCTGAGCTCATTCCAGTTTTATTCTTTTTACTGTAGATGGCAAAACAAAATGTGGTGTTTTACATATGGTCCAACAAGTGCTCGCAAAAGATAATAGTTACTTCCCTTGATCCACTGGCTAGGCTTCTGTTGACACAGCCCAGGATG